CCAAGGGATCTGACACCTTCACACTAATGCACATAAAATAAAATAAATTATTTTTAAAAACTAAAAAAAAAAAAACTTTAAAAAAATAAGAACGAGACACAAGGACAAAGAGAGCTAGAGCTAGAGATATAGACAGTAAGTCTTACGTGGTTTTACAAGCATATGTGCAGTCACTTTATTTATTTAATTAGTTAATTAGTTATTATATTTTCAGTATTAAGAATGTAAGAACTGGAGAGATGGTTCAGTGGTTAAGAACACTGACTGCTCTTCCAGAAGTCCCGAGTTCAATTCCTAGCCATCACATTGTGGCTCAAAACCATCTGTAATGAGATCTGATTCCCTTTTCTTGTGTGTGTGAAAACAGATCACTCATGTATATAAAGTGAATAAATACTTAGCTCTCCTTCGATTAACAAGTCCGCTTAGTCTTATCACTTAGCCATAGTAACAAAGGTTCACCACAGACATGTCATGACACGAAGTCTGCTGTAAGCATGAGCTTAAAGGAACATAAGTAGGCTAGACAGTGGTCATGCTGGCATAAGCCTTTAATGCCAGCACTTGGGATGGGAGGTCAGAGGCAGGCAGATCTCTGAGTTCCAGGCCAGCCTGGCCTACAGAATGAGTTCCAGGACATCCAGAGCTACACGGTGAGATGTTGTCTTGAAAAACCAACAATTACCAGTTGAGCTGGACAGATGGGGCAGACGGCAAGAGTATATGCTGCACAGTCATGTGGACAGAGACTCAGCTCCCAGCACTACACAAGTGAGGCATCCCCCAAACGCCTGTTACTTCAGCTCCAAGGGATTGGACACCGGTTCCTGGCCTCTGTGTGCACACAGGCACATGCAAACACACACATATACACACGCAGGTACACTTACGGAGACAGACACAGGTACATAAACAAAATAAATCTTTTCTTAAAAATGCATACGGGGGCTGGAGAGATGGCTCAGAGGTTAAGAGCACTGCTCTTCCAGAGGTCCTGAGTTCAATTCCCAACAACCACATGGTAGCTCACAACCATCTATAATGTGATCTGGTGTCCTCTTCTGGAGTGCAGGTGTACATGCAAACGCAACATTGCATACATAATAAATCTAAAAATAATTTTAAAAAAAACCACATACGGTAATATATACACTATAAAATTTACAGTCAGATATTTCTAAGTGTGTAGTTCAGGATTATCAAATATATTCATGTTTTCCATCTCACAAAACTGAAACTTTACCCATTTTAAAAACTTTCCATTTCTGTTTCTACCTCTCCCATCCCTTGCTGACAATCATTGTGCTTTCTGTTTCTATGAAGATGGCTGTTCTAGTTATCTCATGTATGTGGAATTATACAGCATTTGTTTTTTGTGTTTGTTTGTTCTGGACTTAGTTTACCTAGCTTTATATCTTCAAGGTTCATACTGAAGGCTGTATATTTCATTCTGTATATTTTTGTTACTCTATTTGCTACATGTTTTGTTATTTTTTTGTTTGACATGTATGAGTGTTCGCCTGCATGCATGTATGTGCACTATCTGCATGCCTATTGCTGGCAGAGGCCAGAAGATGGTGTCAGATCTCCTGAAGCCAGAGTTGCTGACAACGGTGACAGGTGGTGCTGGAAACCCAAGTCAGGTTCTCTGCAAGTGTGCTCACCTGCTGAGCCCTCTCTCTAGACTCTTCTGCTACATTTTGTGCACACATTCATGAGCTGAACAGTGTTAGGCTTCTTCAACCTCTTGTAGCAAATAATGCTCTGAGAGCATGCCTATGCAAATAGTTTCTCAAAAGCCTCCTTTCAGCCACTTGGTAAGTCCCCAGAAGAGGAACTGCTGAATCATAGGGTAGTTTTTCTGATTGCTTTCAGTCTTTGGAGGCGCCACCATACTCTTCCAGGGCTTCTCAATCGCAGTACTGTTTTTAGTTAGAAGGACAGAAAGCAGGAAGGTGGATGAACCACACAAACCCCAGAGAAGTAACTTTGCCATTGTTTTAATCAAGGGGCTTAAAGGATGTTGTGACACTCAAAGTGAGTGCAGAAGCAGGCTTCAGGCAGTTTTCCTGACAAGAGGAGGAGGAAAAGCAGTTGCAGGAGGAGCTGAGTATTTTCTACTGAGAAATGTTTATCTGTTTAGAGTTGCAAGCTGTGGGGAGTGTCCTCATTAGAAAACAGCTGATGATTCCAAGAGACCGAGGAAGAATCACCATGGTGATGGAGACTGACCCATTTTTAAAGTGTAAGGCCTATTGTGAGTGGAACTTTAAAAAGATTATTCTAGTAGAACTTTTCTTTCGTTTTTGTCTTGGACATCAGATATGAAATAAAATAGCATTGTTATTATATCTGCACTCCCCCTGAAGCCTGATGTTCCAGGGAGGATTTCAGAGTCCAGTCTTGGCTTGATGCCTTCCTAGCTGTTTAACAGAGGAGGACTCTTAACCTCTTTAGTCTCAGAATCCCCAAAGTCTTTTTCATATATGGATTAGTTTTCTATGATTATTTTGGCCACCTTTTGTTTAGTATTCCTTTTCTCTTAAACTTGGCTTTCCAGCAAACTCACTTAATAGTCCCCAGTGGAGACTGAGGAAATAAGCCAAAAGGTGCCAATTGGCAAACACATTAGCAAGGGTCATGGGCCAGAGGTCTTTCCACTGCTTCATTTAGACTTAAGATGCCAGGAGGTGAGCTGACCCCACTCTCTGCTTGAGCATCCTCCTATCATTGGCCAGACTGTCTCTCTCCATTTATTTTCACTTTGTCATTTTTAACTCCTTCACTTCTCATCCCCTTACCCATTTCTAGTTGTTCCACTTGATGGTATAAATAACTCATCTTATTCTAACGACAACCCAACAAGTAGGATAATGTTGAATCTCCACTGGACACGTGGGGAAACTGAGGGTAAGGGGTTGATGTAGAATACAAACCCAATTGAGCACAAAATCCACACTCTTAAATAGTATGCCCACCTTAAGAAAACTTGTTCGTGGGAGTTGGTGGCACTGGCCTGCAATCTTCAGTGTTCTGGGAGTTGAGGCTGGAGGATTCCAGTTCCAGGCCAGCCTGGGAAGCTTAGTGAGACACTGTCTCAAAATGAAAAGTAAAAAGAGAGCTGAGACTAGATCTCGTTAGAAGAATGCTTGCTTAGCATATGCAAGGTCCTGGGTTTGATCCCTGAAATGGGAAAAAAAAAAGTTGTGAAAATACAACTGATCCGTAGCTTCTTCTGATGCCTCTCTTCTGTTGTAGATAATTTAAAAGTACGTGCTGATTACTTCATCTGGCACAAGGCAGATATTCCCTCCTAAGCTTCCTTTACTTCTCAAGCCCCCATCCCATGACATCTGCTCTAACAATTTTTATCTGGGCTATTTCCCATCCATAATCTCAGAATACTTGCTAACGTTCTTCATCTGGGCCAATTTCCTCCATCCACGCCGATCGGGCCATGCGTTCCTCTCCACACTAACCCATCAAGGCTCCTTGATTTCTTCCAGTACCTGTCTATCTCTCCCCAAAGCCTTCGAGCCTTCACTGAACCCCTCAGTGCCCTGCCTAGGTGGCAGCCTTTTAACCATCCAATCAGGGACAACAGGGGAAAATTCCTTAGCATCATGTGGGTAAAGGAGATAGTTCAACATTAATAACAATGCCCATGGCAGGGCAGTAACCAGATCTCAAGGCACTGAAACCAGCATTTGAAGACACAGTTGGACCTTCCTCCAACACCCTTTATTATCCATAGAAATGTTAGCACATCTATTTCTGAGGCATGTCCCTTTTGATCGTTTATCCTTTGCAACACTTGAATCTATTTTGAAAAACTAGGATCTTGTCTCCTTGGATTTCCTTTCTGTCTGCTACCTTTCTCCTGCCAAACAGAGCTGTAATTGTCAGCTTGTGCCTTGACTCTCCTGCTTGCCGGTGACATAATTGGAATGATATTAAACAGCATCTCCTCTCTGCAGACTGAACACCTTTCTGTTCGCATTTGTTCTTTCAGCCTCTCATTTACAAGCAGATGACTGTGGATGAACAGAGCATGCTCCTCATTTCTGCCCCGGCTGGATGGCTAGTGCCGGGATTTAGAATGCACCAGCGTGCCTCGGTTAAGGGAAATCCATACAAACTGACAGCTGGCTAACGTGACTGCACTTCCTGGTGTCTCAGCACAGCTCTGATGGGAACGAGACGTTGTCCGTGTTGGCTGCCTATTTTTTGTGAATCCTGGTGGGAGGGGAGGGTAAGAGAGATGCAGCTAGAAGAGGCTAAGGGCTTGGTCAGCTACGAAGGTTCTTTTCATAGGTTCCGAGGATGGTGAGATCATACTGAGAGGGATAACAATGGAAATTAATAACAATAATGCTGTCCATCACACCAAGGCTGATAATGCTAAGAATGTCAGTTGGGTGGGAAAAGGACTTGCTGTGCAAGTGTGAGGATGTGAGTTCAAATCTCCAGGACTCACATAAAAAGCCAGGTGTGGTTGTGTACCTATAACCCCAGTGCTTTGGGGAGATGAAGGAAGGAGGGCTGGCTGGCTGCCGGGCTCCCTCCAAGTTCAGTGCGAAGTTCTATCCCAAGGGTGTAAGGTGGAGAATGATGGAACAGGTACCTGATGTCCCCCTGTGGCCTCCACACACAGGCTCACACACCTGCATGTACACGTCACACACCGCACACAAGCATGTTTCTACATGTGCCAGCTTCTTTGTTATTTTATATGTATTATCTTATTTCGTCTCAACAGCTTCAGGTAAGCACTATAATGGCACTATTTGTATGTTATTATCAACATTCAGACAGATAATTTCCACCAATATATTATAATAATCCATAACTGGGGATAATAATTTAATCAAGATATTTTCATTGGCAGTTTATAGGGTGGGGAAACTGAGACAGAGAAGTTAAGGAACTTACTTGTAAACACTTAATCAGCATTGATTCATTATATTTAATTTTTTTTTTTTTTTTATCATGCTGGGAATTGAACTCAGGCCCTTATGTATGCAAGAGAATGTTCTACCACTGAGCTAACTTCCTACCTCCGGTCTGTGCTTGTAACACATCAGTCAGTGTGTTTTGAGTCCAAGGAGGAAGGCTCAAATGGAAAAATGCGTTTGAAGGGAGTGGTGGAGAGCGAAGGCCCCCCCAGTCCTTGTGTAATGGCTCAGATCTTAAGCCAAACAAGCAAACAAAAAAGAACATATCAGGGTGGTCCCTGTGGGTAGGTCTCAGCACAGGAGATAGAAGCAAAATGGCCTAAAAAGTCCCATGATGGCCACACCCTGTCCTTGGCGACTCTTCATTATCTTCTTCCCAATTTTAAGGCAATGGTATTGCATAATTTGCATATAACAGCCAGAGATAATTTTCTGCTTAAAACAGTTAGTCATATTCTGGATTGGATCCGTTCGACAGAGTGAGTCTTTCCTCAAATGAGCAATGTATTCTGTCAGCGGAGACGTCCTTCAGTGTGGTGGATCAAATGCTTTTCCAAAGCCGGACCCCTAACCAGGTTGTACTCCAGAATCGCACACCCTCGGCACAGAGTTCGTTCAGAGTTCCGCCACAGGGTTCAAGTGCAGTTTTTATGAAGCCTCTTTTATTTTGCTCTTCGTTACTCTGTAACAAATGAGTCATTGATTTTCAAAAAATTTTAAACGCATCCAGAACAGCATTCCTTTTTGTTATTTGCTTTGAACAACCATTTCAAAAGCCAGGAAGAGCCTAGGCTCTGAGCTGGTCTCTGTCAGGATCCCTGCGGCTCCTTCGAAGAGCCTGAGCCACCAAGTCCATCGAGGTGCTGACCCGCAAGCAAGGCACCGCTCACCAGTGTTTCCAAAACATTGCCCGGCAATCATTTCTGAAGGGGTCTGGGAAGGCCTGAAAAACAGTAATAAAAGAGGAAATTTAGGGACAATCCAGTTCTCTTTGTAATTTATGACGTGCTTTAGGGACCTTTCCATGTAGTTTATGCAGGGAAACTGTCTGGAGGCTCCATAAAACCCGGGCTGGATACAGCCCCCAGCCCCCTCCCCCTTCCCCGAGGCCTGGCTAAACACAGGTTCACTTGATGCCAAACTGTTTGATGTCAGAAACGAGGGACATGGCCAACGGGACCAAGGGTAGGAGAGAGAATTCATCAGGGTTTTCACAGAAGCATTCCAATGAATTCAGAAAAACAACCAACCTGTGTAACACTGGGAAGGGGGGATGGGAGGCTTGAGGTGCTGGTTGGTTAGAGCGCCCCCATGTGTCTCAGCACCTCAGGATCACTTCACGACGCTCAGAGGGCAAAGAGCACTTTCCTTACTCCTAGTCCCGTGTTATCCAGCAGCCAACTCTTCCTTCACATTTCATTTTAGAACCACACATGAAAGTCCTTCATCGTTTTCAAAAGAATGCTATTATATTAATTAATTAATTAATTTATTTATTTATTTGGTGTGTCTGAGTGTGGGTACCTGTGGAGCCCTAGGGACAAGCTCGCAGGAGTCGGTTCTCTCCTTCCATCACGTGGGCCCCCAAGGACTGAACTTGAGGCTTGGCCACAGACGCCTTTTCCTTCTGATCCATCTCATTGGCCCAGGTTCCTTCTTCCTTCGATGGGTGTTTGATTATATTTTCTAAGAAGCCGAAAACATAAAATATCTCATTTTCTAGAGTCTCTTGGCAGGCAGGCTCAATAAATGCTTGCTTATTGAACTTTCACTGCCTTGCCCAAATGAAGGAATTAATAAACAAAGCATGGTACATTTATAGTATTAGTATAGATACTAGTTAGTAATAAAAAGAATATGCTGCTGGTATGGACAGCAGCAAGGCACAAACAATGAGATTTGTATTTGTGACATTTTGCAATTGCCAGCCAAGGGCTCAGGACAAAGGGACTAGGACTGCAAACCAGGAAGCTTTCCAAGGGCCCACAAATGTTCTGGGGCTTACCTGATGTTCAGGGCCCAACTATGTGTAGTTTTCAAATCTCTTAAAACTAGTATGATACTAAGTACAGCTGCCTTTCGAGGGGCTACAGAGACAGCTCAGTGGTTAGGAGCATTGGCTACCTTTTGCTGAGGTCGTTGGTTTGATTCCCACACGGCACTCTCCACAGTGCTTGCATTCAAGGACATAAGAGCAAATGAACTAACGGTACAGAGCTCTTACAGTAAGTGCCAGCGAGCAGCACACAAATATCATTATCATTCTGTCTGGATCAATAAAGACTGAAGGGAATATCACAAACCATGAACTTCAAAGAGCATTTCATTTAAAGCTTGACATGTCTTGGTCTATCTCTATGGACATCTTGGTCCATAGCCCCAGTTCCATGGGATCCAACCCCTCTGATGGCCTCCCTGGACACCAGGAATGCATGGGATGCAGGGCATGCATATAAGCAAAACACTCATATGCATGTAATAAAAACAAAGACGTCATTTACAAATTATGGAATTGCATATTTTTAAAAAGTGAGGTTCACTATATAAAATTATGCTCAATGAGCTTTGTAAAACGTTTTCAAACTTATGAAAGCATAACCCTGTCAGGTTACTTTCTTGGCCTCCTTCTCATCTCCTATCTGAAACAGACACCCAGTGAACTCTCAGAAACTCTGCAAGATCAGCTCAATACAAGGCCTCAGGGGAAGGGGAGGGTGGCAGCCTGCATTCCAGACAGCCGGCTCTGCCTCTGCCCTTCTGGGGCAGCAACACAGAGCCTCTGTGGTATTTGGGCAGTGAAAAGGACAACACCAAAGTTCCAGGCTAGTCCTGGCCCTTCCTCTTGTAAGCTGCCCTTGAGTCTGGCAATGGGGTCTGGACCCTGCAGAGTCGTGCTGTCTTTGTGCAAGGCAGTAGCCCTCCTGTGGAGAGCTTGTACTTCATACAGCCCATCTGGGCACTTCTGGGCTGACTCTCTGCCCCCGGGTAGAACCCAAGGATGGATTCTGGCAAACAACTTTGGTTCCCACAGCTCTTAACATGTTCCTCCTTGCTTCTAATGTCGGCGACCTACAAACAATGGCCCAGGCTAGTGGTTCTTAAGGCACCTGAGCAGCGTATTTGTAAATGTCTGTCCCCTGTGCTCACTGCAGCATGGGCTCTAGTAAGATGGAGTTGTCTTAGAGCCCTGTACTTCAGGTACAGACTTTAAGAAATGATGATCCGGGTGAGAGAGAGAACTTAGTAGAGTGCTTTCATAAAAACATAAGGACGTGGGTTCACAGCCATAGGACCCATGTGAAAAGCCAGGTGTGTATGTTAGCATATAGGCAGCCTGCCTCCAGGTTGCTTAGCAACCCGTGATGTCCCATGAGTTTGAAAGAGAGCAAGGAGGGAGGGATATATGCAAGGGTTTGGATTGGAGGGAGGAAGGGGAAGGAGGAAATAATGTAATTACAGTCTCAAAAACAGAAGGAATCATTATAAAATAGGAAGGTGTAGTAGGGTATGGAAGTACCATCACTCTGGAGGCAGAGGCAGGCGGATGTCTGTGAGTTACAGGCCAACCTAGTCCACGGAGCAAGCTCCAGGCAGCAGAGCACACAGTGAGATCCTGTATGTCTTTAAAAACAAAACAAAAACAGCCAAACAAACAAACAAAACCCAAGTGCAGCGTCAGCCTTCTGAAATCCTAGTCCAGGGAGGTGGAAAAAGGATACTGTGGCACAGCTGGCCAGCCATTCTAGCTGAATCAGTGAGAGATCCCGTCTCAGAGAGTAAGATAGAAAAATGATTGAGGAAGACATCTGGCATCAAACTCTGGCCTCCACTTGAGTGTATACACATCATAGACAGAAGAAGCAAACTACGGACAAGAAAATGTCCCCCAGTCTATTCATTGGAAGCACCTGACCCGTCAGGCAGTTAAGTAGCAGTGGTTAAGAGTGTGTGGGGTCTCCAAGGCATTTATTCAAAAAATGTTCAAGTACACAACAAGGACATTTGCTCAACCATTTTCATAGCAGCTTTATTTGTAATAGCCAGAATCTGGAAACAACCCAGTTGTCCCTTAGCAGAGGAATGGATACAGAAATTGTGGTACATTTGCACAATGGAATACTACTCAGCAATTAATAAGGAAATCATGAAATTTGCAGGCAAATGGTGGGAACTAGAAAAGATCATCTTGAGTGAGGTATCCCAGAAGCAGAAAGACACACCAGGTATATACTCACTTATAAGTGGATAGTAGACATATAATATAGGATAAACATACTAAAATCTGTATACCTAAAGAAGCTAAACAAGAAGGAGGCAAACGAGATGGACTTGGAGAGAGAAAGAAAACAGGGAACAGGACAGGAGTCTACCACAGAGGCCTTTAAAAGACTCTACCCAGCAAGGTATCAAAGCAGATGCTGAGACTCATAGCCAAACTTTGGGCAGAGTGCAGGGAATCTTATGAAAGAAGGAGGAGATAGAAGGCCTGGAGGGGACAGGAGCTTCACAAGGAGAGCAACAGAACCAAAAAATCTGGGCCCAGGGGTCTTTTCTGAGACTGATACTCCAACCAAGGACTATGCATGGGAATAACCGAGAACCCCTGCACAGATGTATCCTATGGCAGCTCAGTCTCCAAGTGGGTTTCCTAGTAAGGGGAACAGGGACTGCCTCTGACATAATCTGATTGGCCTGCTCTTTGATCACCTCCCCCTGAGGGAAGAACAGCCTTACCAGGCCACAGAAGATGACAATGTAGCCAGTCCTAATGAGACCTGATAGACTAGGGTCAAAGGGAAGGGGAGGAGGACCTCCCCATCAGTGGACTTGGAGAGGGGCATGGGAAGAGAGGAGGGAGGGAGGGTGAGATTGGGAGGGAATGAGGGAAGGTGTGACAGCTGTGATACAAAGTGAATAAACTGCAATTAATAAAATAAATAAATTTAAAAATTAAAAAAAAGTGTATACTAGAAGCTAGTGATGTCAAAGTCTGATGACCACTTTGAAGGGGGACATAAAATGTTGCTTAAAATCTTTTCTGCAATAAAAACAATGTCTATATTCATTTAAAAAAAAAAGAGTGCGTGGGGTGCCTAGGTTCAAAGTTCATCTCCATCTCTTGTCCTGGAGGTCTTAGACAGCTCCTGTAATCTCTCCACAGTGCTTGAGTTCAGGGAAGTAAGAGCAAATGAACTAACGGTACAGAGCTCTTACAGTAAGTGCCAGCAAGCATTAGATAAATATCATTATCATTCTGTCTGGATCAATAACGACTGAAGGGAATATCACAAACCATGAACTTCAAAGAGCTTTTCATTTAAAGCTTGACATCTCTAAAGACTTGACATGGTGGATGGAAATATAACCACTTTATTCATGCCAGCTTTCCTACATTCCAAATATCTTTGTTCTATTTACATGTTAAGATAAAACTGAAAAAAAAATAAGCTGGGCTTAACTGTACCCCATTTTGATTGATTAATGAGCCTATGGCAACTCACATATATAAGCCAGATCATCTTTAATAAGCTGTTCTTAATCTTTGGTGATTCTTAAACAAAACTGCAAACCAGAATCACATGTGCAGCTTTTGAACAGCGCACACTGGCTTGGTAGAGATTAGGGTGAGGCCAGAGGATCTAAGTGTGTTTGAAGTTCCCCCATGCTTTGGCTGTACACTGTAGGAAGAGAAGTGCCAGTTCAGACAAAAGTTAGTATTGCTTACCTGTTTAAAGATGTATAAAACCAGTGGTGTGGGCTTGTGGTCCACTCAGGGGGCTGAGGCAGAGAAGTTGGTTTAGCACAGTAGTTTTGAGACCAGCCTATGAAACATACTGAAATTGTGTCTTCAAAACAAAACAAAACCCACACACAATAACCCTCCTAAGAACCAGGGACCAACCTTGTTAAGTAACTTGGCTAGATTCATTTAGCAAATCATTTGCAGAGGCAGGAGTTAGGATTTTTGTTGGTATAGTTAGAAGAAACAAACAAACAAACAAATAAAAAACAACAAATTTCTGTCCTAAACACACATCAACTTCTTTTCTTGTCATGGTTCCTTAAATGACGCAGTGTTCTCAGCGGCTTATATTGTTCTGGGTATAATAGGTGATCCAAAGATGATTTAAAATATGTGGAAGCTGTTTGCAGTTCTTGTGTAAATATTACACAATTGTATGCACAGGGCTTGAGCTCCTGCAGACTTTGGTACCAGAGGGTATCCTTTGCAGATAGCAAGGAGCAACTGTAATTACAAGGGTAATATTCTTTCCGTTTTAGTTTATAGAGTGTAAATTACTTGTACAGGCAAAGATAAATATTGTGGATTTTTTCCTCCCTATTTGTTAATGAAATAATAGTGTGACTGAATAGCTGGGAACTCTAGCTTGGAACTGCTGGTTTGGGATTCTGAATTCTTTTCAGATGCCATCCTTTATCTTCCTGTCCACATATCTGTTTTACTGATTATTGCCATCAAGTCCTTGGAAGAACAAGGAGTTTCTCTTATGGATGCTGGATCAGATCCTAGTGGGAAACATGGTCATGAGTTTGAGGACTTGTCCTCCACTCAGAGCAGAAGAACCTTCAGAGACCATAGTTTCATCATAACAGATCCAAGATAACTTGGCATATGAAACTAAGAAAATGAAGATTCCGTTAGAGCATGAACTTAAGAATATTATCCTGTAAATCAGCTCACAAATTACTGAGACAAGAATAAATTACTATCCAGAAGGCCACTCTAGTGGCTCTAAGATAGTGAAATTTAGATGGCCTCTGGGTGGAAATTCCTATGGATTCCCTGTTCATTTTAAAATATGTCTAACCTATAATGTCCCTTAGGATCCCTTCTTCATCTTATCAGAGAAGAAAATCTATCAAATTAAAGTCTGCTGTGGATGGATTGGGGTGGGGGAGCAGTGTGTAGGGCTCACAAGGTTATTCTGCTGAATTTGAGCCAGAGAGGCAAATTGGGGCAGTATCGTTTCACATGCAAAACGGCCTGGCAGGCTGGAATTCCTGCCTGAGGGCCTTCACACACTACCAACCTCTTGCTCATAAAACAGGCCCCGCTATGTAGTTACATCTTGGCACCCTTGGCTGCTTCCCTTTCAGATTTCCTGCTGATCATTTTCCCAATATCCCACCTTTGCATTCTCCTCCGAGTTTTGCAAAAATACTGTTTCTTTTTCATTTTCAAGTTCTCTTTTAATCAGATAGCTCCTGCTGGCATGGGATGTCTGAGGTATTCCTTTCCGTGGATTCTGGACCATGCTGCATTACCTTGGCAACAAGATTTAGAGGCAGAGCCCTGGCCTTGAGCTTGTCAGAGTCTCCAGCTAGGAGGACTCAGCACACCTCACTCTCCAGCTCACCGAGTTGTCATGCCAACCATTAACAATAAAAACCCATCCCTCTCTTCTAGGGTTTTAATTCAATAACTTTCCCAATTGGTTCCTTCTGTAATTCAATTGACTTGGAAATGTAATATATGAGGATGTGTGCACATGTGTGTTTCTGGCCAGTTGCTAATGGCCTTCTGCTAAATGACCGAACATTGGAAAGCAATTTGGGTCAAAAGTTCACCAAAAAATTAAATGAAAATAAATAAAGTAGAACTCAGTCTAACCAAAGGAGCCTGAAATTTTGAAAATCTTGGCCAATCACTAACAAAACAAACACTGAAAAAGTGACCTTTGCCCTCAGATATATGAGCATGACTTCCGTCGACATAGCTACATCGAGGGCTCCATACTTGGAGCAGCTGGGCTCCTCTGCATGTTTAGAAATCTTTTAACGGTTTTGAATATACAACTAATTTTAAGTTAATAGCACTCCTGTGTTCAAATTTATATCTCATTTCCTTCATAATCAGAAAGTTCTGTAGAAATTCATGGTCTTAGATAATCTCTTGATCCCAGTGACAATCAAGCAGGGATTTTGTGGGGTCAGGAACTAGAAAAGCCAGTGGACAGAGTTCTTAAATGGACTTATTTGGGTACTTCTGTCTTTATGGGCTGCACAAGTGTTTGCTTGCCTCTCTCCTTTAATCGACTTATTTCAGCTTATATCACATGTCTGATACGCTACCTCTCTGGGTCCTCTGCCACTGGGACCCGGTTTTAGTTTTCTGCACCCAGTATATGAGGGCTGATAACGTATAACTAGGCAGTGACCACTAGGAACACCTCAGTACTGGAGCAAGGTCACTGTTTTTATCATCTCAGCTTCACAGAGGAAGAGGCAGAGACAGAGGAGTCAGGCAGCATGTATATGGTCCCAGCAGTCTACCAGGCTGTACATTCAGACTGCAGATTTGAGACTGTCTGTAAAGATTTCTTTGTTTTCTGTGTGTGTGTGTGTGGGGGGGTATGCTTGAGAGAGTCTCATGGATTCTAGGCTGGACTCTCACTACGTAGCCAAGGATGATCTTGAACTTCTGGTCCTCCTGCTCCGACCTTCCAAGCGCTGGAATTCTAGGTTTTACATTGTAACATCTAGTTTTGTGTGGTCCTTGGGAATGAATCCAGAGCTTCACACATTCTAGGGAAGCATTTTATCAACTGAGCTAATTCTCTGCCCCCAGATTCTTCATTTCTAACACCCTTCCAGGTTCACTCCACCGGCAGCACTTTGAGGCGGAGTGAGTGATGTAGAACATAGTTTGTATGTGCATAGCTGATGCATGCCTCGGGTAGAAGCGGTGAGCGCTTACCTGAACTGCTTAGCTGTGATGCTGCATTCAACACAGGGGAAGCGGTGAGCGCTTACTGAACTGCTTAGCTGTGATGCTGCATTCAACACAGGGGAAGAGGTACACACTCTCGTCATATCTGTGCTGTGAGGCCCATCAGGGCTGTTGCAGAGCCACGTGGTCATACCAGGGAGCTCACAGGAGGCTGGAGCCTCTTACCATTCCCTCCCTCATGGCCACAGTGGCCCGAGCGCGTCTCATCATCTGTGCATAATACTTATTATTAAAAACAGTGACTACTGCAGCTTCCCAGAAATCGAATTTGTACACGTGAATATTTCTTTTTCTTCAGAGATGAAATGAAAACATTTATTTTCAACATCGGAATCAATTTCCCTCCAAGGGATAAGCTTTGCTGCATGAAAGAGCGCCCTGAAATGTGTGGTTCACCAAACAGTAAATCTTATTTGCTTAGATTCTGTCTAGTCTTGCACAAACAGGTTCTATGTGTGGAGGCATAGTTAAGCTCTGAAAAGAGATCATTCAGAACAAGGCCCACTCCGTGGGAAATGCCATTGCTTGTAAGCAGCTCAAGCTGGTGGGAGACATGGATGCATTTACATTCGGCTGAGCAATGCACACTCTCCCACAATGCCTACTACGTGTCTGGTGCTGTGTCGCTGGACTATGCAAAGTCAAGCCACATTGTTTTCATTTTTAATGACTGTGTTAGTTGCTTTTCTGTTGCTGTGATAAAATATCATGGCCAAAAGCAACTCAAGGAAGAAAAGCTTCAGTTTAGCTTATGATTCCAGAGAGTTAGAATCCTCATGGTGGGGAGGGTGTGACATAATGGAAGGAACAGAAAGGAGAGGAGAGAGATTGGGGGGCTTTGGACAGGAACCAGAAAGTGAGGTGAGATTATATATTTCCAAGCCTGACCTCAGTGCTATACTTCCTCCAGCAAGGCTCACACCTGAAATGTTCTATAAGCTTCCCAAACAGCACCAAAAGGAGGCCAAGTAATTAAATATATAAGCCTATGGGAGACCGTTTATCATCCAAACCACCACAATTACATTTAGTGTGTGTGTGTGTGTGTGTGTGTGTGTGTGTGTGTGTGTGTGCGCACTTGTGTGCAGTGGTCAGAGGAAAACCGGCAGGAGTTTCTTTTCTCCTTCTACCTTGTGGGACTTGGGGATAGCACTCATGAGTGGTAGCAAGTGCTTTAAGCTGCTGAGCCACTTTCTGGGCCAAGTCTGGATAAATTAATATGTGATAATTCAAGCAGATGCTGGCCAGAATCTATTTCATTAGCTATGCAAAAGGGATTTATTGTGCCAATTAAGAGACCAACACATTTTTTTTCATCTAGTTTTTGTTTTTATGGCCCATGGAGGTCAGAAGAGGGTAAAGGGGTCCCCAGGACTGGAGTTAAGGATGGTGGCGACACAGCACACTAACTTGGGCCTGGCCTGGGTTCTCTGCAGGAGCAGCAAGTGCTCCTAACTACTGAGCCGTCTCTCTAGCCCCTTATATGTTTGTTTAAAGCTCCTTAGGAGAATAAATGGTTTTCAAGAATGCTCAAGTGCTTCTTTCTGAAAGGTATCTGAGGAGCTTGTCAACAAGGACACTAATTGATTAATGATGTTGATCATTGTGCTAATTTAAAAAACTCCTATGAAATACGACACTTTAGGTTGTGTCCTGAATAAAATGAGTTTAGTCAATAATAATGTGCAGGGTTGGCTTTTTGTTATGATGGATGAACCCATGTTAAGATGTTAACATTTTTTTAAAGAGTATATACAAACTCTAAGTAAGCTTTGTAACTTTCTGTAGATTAAAATCATTCTAAAGCAACAATAAAATAAAAGCTTATTGAAATAATTCTTATACATTCATGAGGTCCAATGCTCCAGGAACCCCTGGTGACAATAGAAGCTATTTATTGAACAATACTCCTAGACATGTGTTCACAAAGGTTATAAAGTAGGTATGGTTTTTACCTTACAATTATTATCTTCACAGTTTTCACCTGCGGCTCAGAGTGAGTAGGCAACTCCATAGCTGTGCAGATAATAACTGACAGTTCAGGACTTGACGAGGACTGTCTAAATTCTGAGCCTGGGCCCTCGGTGGCTC